TTCCTTCAGACAGTAAGCTCAATGACACTGGATAGGTAACTCGGCAACAGGCCCTCCACATTTAATGTGACAAATGCAGATTCCAACCCAGCAGGGAAGGGGAAGGGAGGATTATACATAAATGGTATTTCAATTTGGCAATTGAAAACTAATCAGTTTAGCTTCTATCTCATAGCATAAATCAAAATAATTTCACTGATAGAAACAATATAAAGATTCACGCTGTAAAACAGAAGAAGCAATTTTGCTGTGAGCAAAAAGAAAGTCTAATAAAAAAACAAGAAAACACGAGTGTATATTTACCAAATCTCTGAAGAGGCAAGGGACCCTAAGTTTAAAAAGCAATGGAAGAGCCACCGGTGCGGCTCAGTTGGTTGAGCATTGTTCCATGCACTAAAAGGTTGCCGGTTAACCATTCCCAGTCAGGGCACATACCCTGGTTGTGGGTTTAACAGGAGGCAACAGATCAATGTTTCTCTCTCTCTTTTCCTCCCCTCCCTCCCCTTCTCTCTATAAAAATCACTAAAAACATGTTAAAATAAAAAGCAATGGAAGAAATAAAAAAAGGATGTTCAAAATCAACAACATATTCGTTTAATCTCTGTATCTCATAAATATATACATATCTACAAATAAAATTAAAAGGCAAACATACTAGGAATATATTTCAATAAATATGTAAAAGATTAAGCTCTTTAATATATAAAAATTGTATACAAATAGATAAGAAGAATACCGAGACCCCAATAGTTAAATGGATAAAGAACATGAATAAACAAAAGAGGGAAATATAAATGGTCAACTAATGAGAAAACTATTCAACCTCAATAATATGTAAAAATTAAAACAAGGAGTTACCATTGCTTGCCTTTCAAACTCGGACCGATGTCTGCATTCACCTCCAAGCTGGGCTGTCTCCCTATTCTCTGCCTCCCCCTCTCCAGCCCACTCTGCACTGCAGAATTCTAAGAAACAAATCACCCTGTGTCACTCCCCAGCCTTAACATTCCTTTAAAGGCTCCAGGATGGTAACCAGGAGAAAACCCCAGCAATGCCACCTGGCACATCTACCAGCTTGTAGCCTGACCCCTTTCTAACCTTATCGCTTACCACTTGTCCTACACACAGCTACGCTCGTTACTGGGAACTTGTGCGGTTGTTTCCAGAACTATTTCACACCTTGGTGCCTTCACCTGTGTTGCTACCAGTTCTTGAAGGCCAACCTTCATCCTCACCCTATTCCTTCAGGAAGCCCTCCCCGAAGCTGCTGGTCTCCTTTGGATGTCCTTCCTCATGTTTCCGGTGCACCCTTCATTCCAATGTCACAGCACTGAGCACAGGATGTTATGATCACTTGTCTTTCTCCTCCACTGGACTATGGGCTCCTTGGGGGAGGGGCTATGCCTTATTCATCTGTAGAGTCCCAGAGCCAAGTAGGTACGCACATAATGTATGTATGAATATGTAGGATGAATACATGGATGGACGATGTATGAGCAGGGCCATGAGCAAGCTGATGTGAGAGACAACTGAGAAAGGGCCAGGTGAGGGTGGGCACCTTACCTCCCGAAGGGCATTCTGGGCTGCGTAGTACCAAGCCCGACTCACGAGGGAGGCCTCTTTCTGATCTGACAGAGGCAGGAAGCTCAGAATATATGTGAGCATCTGAGGGGAAAAGAGAGGGCATTGGGGCTGTTAGAGCTGGGGGCCTGGGGAACTTTCTCTGGCTGGTAGCACAGCAGGGCTGAGGGGACGAGATCACTGGCTTCTACTTTATCTTGAATCCTAAGCTTCACAGAGTCCTCATGTCCCATATCTGCCTCCCAAGTATCTTTGCTGTGAATGAACCTTTACTTTGTCTGGATACAGGATTGTACAGACTGATAAAAATCAAACTTCCTGCTCAGTTCTGTCATAAGAGCCTGGGCATTGGAACCAGATCAACCTAATTCAAATCCTTACTCTATCAACTGACCTCTCTGAGCCTTGTTGTTTTTATCTGCAAAATGGCAGTGGTATGAGGTCTAATATATATTGTGAGAATTAAATAACATATCTTGCATAGGATCTACAACATAGCCAGTCAGGTGCTGCTCTGATTTCCAGGAAGGTATACGCCTTCTTCCTGCCCTTGTAGATCAGGCTCTGGGAACCCACTCTTTCCCCGTCTTCTCCACTGCCAACTTGCCTTCTCAGCTGCTAAGAAATGATCCCAGCAAGACCCAGCTGAGGAGGCTCAGGCCCTCGCTACACTTATGCTCTATGAGGCTGGTGGGAGGGGTGGGGGAGGTTGGAAGCCCTATTATAGGGAACTGTAAAGGGAGTCAGCTGTGAGGCCAGGAATGATCTGATGTTAACTCTTCTTGTCTTCTGGAATCTTCCTTCCTTGACTCCTATGACACTGTTTTCTAGGGCTCCACTCTCCACTCCAATTGCCCTGTCTCTGGATCTTCAGTGGTTCCCAGGGCTCAGACCTGGTCTTTCCATCTGTTTACTTTCTAGTAAACACTTGCATGGCTTCGACAGTTACCTCTATAGGAATAACCCACAACTCAATATCCTCATGTTACCTTATTCATGTCCAGTGTTGCCAACTGTCCACAGAAGCCTTCACCCAAATATTTTTACTATCACCTTCATCTCAACCAGAATTCATATTCTGCCCTCAGTCCAAAGCAGTCCCATCTCCCAACTTTCCAGCACCTGAGCTGGAAATGCCAACCATGCAACTCCTCTGAAGATCTTGATAATACTTTGTACTTGTCCTGCTCTTCTATCCCTTGCTCTCAGACACAGGTGTCAAGCATAGGCTTTAGGCCAGGCTAACTTAGACTCATTTAAATCCCAATTCCACTACTTCCTAGAATGGGGATATTAGAAAACATATGTCATAGTCTGCCCTAGCCAGTTTGGCTCAGTGGATAGAGCGTTGGCCTGCAGACTGAGGGGTCCCAGATTCGATTCCGGTCAAGGGCACAAGGCCAAGTTGCGGGCTTGATCCCCAGTAGGGGGGGAGGGGTGCAGGAGGCAGCCAATCAGTGATTCTCTCTCATCATTGATGTTTCTCTCTTTCTCCCTTCCTCTCTGAAATCAATTAAAAAAAAAAATATATCATATGTCATAGTCTTATGGGGATTAAGATATAGTTATATTGGATATGATGTGCTTGACACCTAGTAGGTATTCCATAAATGGTTGCTGGATTGCTGTTACTAATATTTTTACCTTTGAAACTTTACTTAGTAGCCTAGACTTTCATCATTCTAAACCTGGATTCCTTTTACAATCTTCCAACTGACTCTCCTGCCTCCAGGCTCATTCTTGCTAATCATTCTGCACACTACAGCAAGGTTAATTTCCCAAAAAATAGCTTTCGGTCTCAGCACACCCCTGATGAAAACTTCTAGGGTATCCCAGGACCCTCACAACACAATCTCCACTCTTGGGTCAGCACCGCCAGGCCTCCATGACCAACTAGACCCCTGATTCCAGAGCTTCCCCAACCCAGTCTCCCCACCGTCCTACAAACACAGCTCATCTATTTCCTTTGTCCACATGAGCCTCTTTCCTAGAAATGCCCTTCCTTGAGCTTGACCTCATCAGCCCATTCTGATCTCCTCTCATTCCTAGCATACAGAAGGTGCTCAGCCAACACTCACTGGATTGAATTAAGGATGGATAGTCCTCTACCTCTATTTTCACCAAATGTTTGCTCAATTATTGAGAGAATGACTGGGGAGGAGGCTAGATGCGGGAAAGAAAACACTGATGGGGACTGGGAATGACCAAGCCTCCAACCCTCAGGGAAGGCAGATACTTATCTCCGAGCTGAGATAAGATAGTGGCCATTCCACCTTCTGGGGCTCAGCAGCCAACCCAAGGGTCAATGAATAGTAGAGGGCAAAACCCCTGTCCTCACGGAGGGGATTCTTTGAGCTGGGAAGGGGAGTGGCTTTCCTAGAGACCAGAGCAGGCAGTGATAAGCGTGGATGGCCATCCCAGAAACCCCATCCCAGGAGGCATGACTGGTCATTCCTGGGACCTATGTGGGTGAAATGGATTACCTCTGGGGCCAAGGGGAGACAAGAAGCCACGGCAGGGGGCTCAGTGGGGTGGGAGCAGTTCTATTTTTGCTAAGGGGAAGGAGAGCCATTCCAGGGCTGATGGGGAAAAGGTGTCTGGTCTCCCGGAGGCATTGAAAGGGCGGCCAACTCTCAGGGCAAAAAGGATGGAGGAGTCATCCCAGAGTCTCCTGGGGACAAAACCTGTGACCTGCTCTCGATAATGGCGGCAGAGGGGTCTTGCTTCAGGCTAAGGAGGACGGGCAAACATCCCTTGGGGCCCAGGAGGTAGGGGCGGCGGCTATCGCTGGAGGCGGAGGGAAGGGGGAGCAGGCCGGTCTTCGGGGACAGAACTCGGCGACCCTGCCCGGAGTTGATGGGGAAGGCAGTCTCCCGCCGCCAGGGGCAGGGGACAGCCATCTCTCGGGGTGGAGGGAATGAGCCGATCATCCCAAGGGACCAATGGAATGAGATCGGTTACCCTTCGGGGACGATGGGATGGAGCAGATACCTTCCAGAACTGAGGGGGAGGGGCGGCCATCTCAAGAGAAGGTGGGCAGGCAGAGGCCCGTTCTCTCTGAGGTGACAGAACAGCCATCTCCGGGGGCCGATGGGGAAGAAGAGGATGTCCCCCAACTAAGGGGACGGAGTAGCCTAACGGTGGGGCCGTTACCCATCGCTTGCAAGTCCTCTCAGCTACCGGACGGGTCATTTCCGCCCGGCCAGCCGGACCCGGCGAGCGGTCTGACAGCCCCTCCCCACAGCCCGGGACCCTGAGGGCGGGGCCTAGTCCGATCTGGACCTGAGGGCGGCCTCCTCTCACCTCCAGGGGCAGCGACTCCGCCATCGCATCCCCGCCGCCTCCGCCCCCGCGCAAGGCATCTGGGAAGTGTAGTCTCATGGGCCCCGGGGGGCGGGGCTAGGAAAGGAAGTGCTCCACTCACTTCCGTCCCAGTTGTGACGATTTGGGTCTGCACCGGAAGTGCCTGTGCTGCCGATGTGGGACTTGGTGATTGCGGTTTCATTCTCTATTCCTTGTTCCCCCGGCTGGGTATTTGCGTCGCACCATGGCGGTAAGGAGAGCGGGTAGGGCGGGGTCCGCATCGGCAAAGCACTCCCAGGGCCTGGGAGACTGAAAACAGGAGGGACATCAAGAGAAGCGGGTCGGCCAGAGGGGGCGCCATTCGGTGGCCGGGCCGTACTAGATGCACGGGGGTGGAAGGGAGCGGCGCTGGACCGTACCAGAACGGGTGCCGGAGTGGGGGTGGGTGTCAGTATCACATAGTAACCGGAATTGCCTAAAGATCTGAGGGGCCAGAAGGGTGTGGGCGTCAGCCGAGATCTTGCCCACTCCAGCGGAGGCCGGAGAGGGGCGCTATTCAACGCCACTCAGGAATTCCCCGTGACGGGGTCATCAGCCCAAAGCCGTAGCTTACCGGGGAAGCCAGGCGGTGTCAGCCCAGTGGTGTATTGTCCGAGGGTGTGCAGGAGGCGAGCATTGCCGAGGTTGTTGGAAGGATGGTTTCTGCCTTAAGCAGGATTGCCTGGAGGAGGGGTAGGCATCCCGAGGATTGTGCCAGGTTTGAGCACCAACGGGAACTGGCTGAGGTGCAGCTGGGACTCTGCAGCTAACCAGACTGGTGGGGAAGGGGAAGAGGACCCTGCTGAGGAGGGCTCTGACAGGCCTCTCACCATTCTTCTGCAGCCCAAGGGCAAAGTGGGGACAAGAGGGAAGAAGCAGATATTCGAAGAGAACAGAGAGACCCTCAAGTTCTACCTGCGGATCATACTGGGGGCCAATGTGAGTGCCTGGCTCTTATTTCTGTGCCCGCCCAAGGTCCCAGAGCCCTCAGTTCTGGGTGGTGGGGGCTGCGGCAGTGGTATGGTGGTGGTATGTGAGTCAAGGCTTTAGAAGAAAATTCCAGAAATAAATAAGTAAATCGGTCCTGTACAGAGGAAATGTTGAGTAGTCAAAACAAAACAACAAAATGAGATGGACTCAAGAGCCTTTACCACTCCAAGTACAGAGGCTTCTTTCCTAGGCTGATGTGTCAGAGGGTAGTCTGGGTACTCAGACCTCTGTTTCCCCCATCCCTTAAGAAACAACCTGTCTTCTTCCACAGCCTGGCCAAACTCTTGGTCAGAGTCAAGGGAGGTCCATGGTTTAGGGGTAGCTTTGATCCCAGCCTGATCCTGTGTCTGCTTGCAGGCCATTTACTGTCTTGTGACCTTGGTCTTCTTCTACTCATCTGCCTCATTTTGGGCCTGGGTAAGTGTTCCCCATCCTGGGAAGTGGGTACACACATAGGGTTAGTGGCTGGCCTTTGATACTCCCACTCTTGTTCTGCAGATGGCCCTGGGCTTTAGTCTGGCTGTATATGGGGCCAGCTACCACTCAATGAGCTCAATGGCACGGGCGGCCTTCTCTGAGGATGGGGCCCTGATGGATGGTGGAATGGACCTCAACATGGAGCAGGGCATGGCAGAGTGAGTGTCCCCCGCCGCCAGCTCAGGTGAGCGGCCCCAGGGCTGTGGTGCTGGGGCCCAGATAGCCCAAGACCCACAGCTGCCTGCAACTTGAAGGGGTGGGAGGTGAATTGGGGCCCATCTACTATTTTTGGCCCCTGCAGTCTCCCTTCCATCCACAGGCACCTGAAGGATGTGATCCTACTGACAGCCATTGTGCAGGTGCTCAGCTGCTTTTCCCTCTACATCTGGTCCTTCTGGCTCCTGGTGCGTGGGTTGTTCGACTCCCAAGAAGGGGCTGGGGCATCTAACCATTCTCTTCTTTCATTTCCTGAACCTGGCTTCAAGTTACCTTTTCTCTCCTAGGCTCCAGGACGGGCCCTTTACCTCCTGTGGGTGAATGTGCTGGGCCCCTGGTTCACGGCAGACAGTGGTGCCCCAGCGCCGGAGCACAATGAGAAAAGGCAGCGCCGGCAGGAACGGCGGCAGATGAAACGATTGTAGCCACTAACGTTGTGACCACTGGTTGCTGGGCCTTAGGTGGTTCTATCAGGCTGTATGGCCCCATGCTAGGAGTAACGAGGGCCTAGTCCAGGGGCCAAAAGCAGTCTAAGGCATAGGATTGTTGAATAAATGGCTTAGAATGTGGCTAATGGCTGTGTGATGATGAGGCGTGAGGCAGGAAGAACCAATTCTTTGGTATTTCCCTACTGCTATAGACCTTGAAAGCTGGGGTCTATACCTTGAAAGAAAAAGCTCTTGAATTGGCTAAGAAAACTTTATTATGCTCCACGTGTTCAGGGAGCTCATGCATACACACACACACACACACACACACACACACACACACACACACACAAAACACACAAACACAGATAATACTGCTGAAGGCACTGGCCACTGGGTACAGAGTGACCCCAGGGTTGAGAAGATGCCCAGAATTCTGCTCTGGCCCTTCTTCTATATAGTCTTTTGCATGCAGGCTGTGGCCCAGGTAGATATTCTGGAGGCAGTGGCTTCACACCTCCAGGCCAGGTCCCTTGCTCAGTCCCAGTGCCTGCACCAGGTCTTCTCCAAGTCCGCTCTTCAGTGTCCGTCTCACTGCAGGGACAGAGCAGGGTTGGAGGGGATTGATTTCTGGGGATAAAGCGGGCAGCAGGTATGTGGGGAATACTCACAAGATTTGCGGTTGCCACGGGAACGCTTGCGTTCCCGAGCAGCTAAGGCACGAGGACTGCTCTTGGTCACTGACTGCACCAGCAGGTCCATGATCTCATCTGAAGTGTCACTGGGTGAACTGGAGCCTGGGGATTCTTCTGGGGGTGCATTGGAGGCCCCCACTGCTGTGGGCATTGGGGAGCTGCTCTGGACCAGGCCTGAGAGAGACCAGATAGGGAGGTCAGGCCAAGGTGGCCCCAAAGCAAAATCCGTTCCCCTAGCGGCCACAGGTCCCACCTCTGCTGCGGCGGCTGTGTGTGGCCTCTTCAGGCTTACTGGTCAGCAGGCTCTTCATGCTGGCGTGACTGTCTGCATCACCCTGGCCTGGCCCACTACCCACAGCCACTGGGACAGATGGGTTGCTGGGGGCTTCCCCAGCCACTCCTGAGAACTTCTCTGTCTGGAGAGGGGAGAATGATGAGCTGGGAGCCAGGGAAGGAAACCATGGGAACGACAGTCAAAACCTGGAAGGGGCACGCACCTCAGTGATCATGCGTCCCCGGGTCTTGTTGCGCTCACGGTATGTGGCCCGCTTCTGCTGCTGCTGGAGCACCCGATCCCGGCAAGTCCGGTACTCCAGCGAAAACTCCCGCAACGTGTGGCAGAATTGCATGATGCGCACTTCACGGGCTGCCTGTGCGGTGTACCCCAGGTACAGCAGGAAGGCGTGGAACCTAGGCAGGTCAGGATAGGAAGGGATGGTGAGTCCTACTTGGGGGTGAGGGACAGTGGTGGCGGTCCTGCCTCTCGGGCCCACAACCCCACCTGTTGCAGACACGGCGGTGCACTACTCGCAGCATGGTAACGCGTCGGGAACAGTGGGCCAGGAACTGGGTGAGGCGGGTACGCAGGGCCGGGGCCAGCTCATGCTTGGCCAAGCTCCGCAGACTCTCCTCAGCTGCACGGCTCCGATGCTCCAGCTGCCCCAGGTTCTCAGCCAGCTGTTCAAAGTCCACCTGGAAAAGCAGGGGGGTACACAGGTTGTCCCCGCACAAGAAGGTACTGCCTGAGGCTGCCTCTGTGTCAGGCTGGTGAGCCAGGCCAGAGGAACACAGAGGAGATGCAACCATTGCCCTCCAAAAGTTCACCGTTTACCACAGGAAACAGACAAGTCCATTTGGTCCAATGGGGAACAGAGAAGGTTTCTTGGGGAAGCAGCGGCTAAACTGAGACCCAAAGACTGAGTAGGGATAGCCAGGCCAATAGAGGGAAGCATTTCTGGCACAAACATCTGTAGCCGAGCCACCCCTGGCACAGCTGCAGAAATAGGAGGGGAGAAGCCAGCCCCAGGAAGCAGCACTCCCTGATGCCCTGGCCAATTTTATTCAAGCCCCTGGCTGGTGCTAACCTTGGCACAGCGGGTCAGGGCGGGGATTTCTGAGTAGAGGTCGGAGGAATCAGGCCGCATCTGGAGCACCAAGGAGCAGAGATGGTGCAGCAGCGACTGCCTGCGCACGGTGTCCTTCACCTCTGACACTTTCTCCAGGTAGCTCAGCTCAAAGCCACTGCTCTGAAAGGACTTTGTCTGAGCCTGGGCCGGGCTGGCTCCGGAGCCTGGCTCCCAGCCCTCATGCGCTGTCACTCACTTGGGAGCCATTGAGGAAGTTGCCCACAGCCAGAAGGGTGGCCAGAATGCAGCGGAAGGTGGCATTATGCACCAGCTGTTCCATGCCCACTTTCAGGTCAAACAGTGGCTCTGCGATTTCCTGGTGTGGGAGGCCAGGGACTCAGACTACATGGTCATCATACTCATCTGCCCCCACTGACTGTCCCACCCATGACCCAGGTACCCGTTCCATGCTGTCATAGTCCAGCTTGAAGGCCCAGAGTTGTAGGCGGGCAGCCAGGCCCCCGATGGAGGCAAGAGTCATCAGGAAAGTCTCAGCTGGGGCCAAAGGTATGTCAGGGTTGGCCAGTTGGGCCTCCTCGATCTTCTGCCGCTCCTCTTCCGTGGGCATCATGGTCAGTAGTTTCTGAGGACACAACCACCACCCCATACAGGCCAGTAAGTGCTGGCCTGAGGCCTCAGGTGTTGGTCTTGACTCCCCCTAGGCCAGTGGTTCTCAACCTTCTGGCCCTTTAAATACAGTTCCTCATGTTGTGACCCAACCATAAAATTATTTTCGTTGCTACTTCATAACTGTAATGTTGCTACTGTTATAAATTGTAATGTAAATATCTGATATGCAGGATGGTCTGAGGCGACCCCTGTGAAAGGGTCGTTCAACCGCCAAAGGGGTCTCGACCCACAGGTTGAGAACCGCTGCCCTAGGCTATCTGGGGGAGCCCCAGGGTCTGGGGACTGCTATGCCAAGCCCCTTCCCACTACTAGAGGGTCAGGAAATGCCCACTGACCAAAGGAGAGGGCTGGACCTCCCACTCCCTTCCACACCCCCAGCTGGCTATCCCTACCTCAATGCCGTCCTTGCTGACAGCAAACTCATCGAAGTTGACCAGGGCAGCCTTAATGACATGCACCGGTGGCAGTGTGGTTAGACCAATGTTGATAGCGTTGCTGCGCTTGGGGTCCAGCACTGTGGTCATTGTCCGGCGGCCCTCACCAGCTTTCTTTGAGGTTGAGGGAAGGAGAGTGTAAGTTTGGGAAAGGGACTAGCTGGGGCAACAACCTAAGAGGACACTTCAAGGGCCCCCTCCAAATAGTGTGGTCACCCTACAACTGGGGATGGACCTGGGATGTTTAAAGCCTTGGGATGAGCTTAGATACTAGTTAGGGCTGTGCTGATCCCTGTTGAGACCTCAGACAAGTCCCCGCCCCTCTCTTTGCCTCGCTTTCCCTACGAGGGAAATGAGCAGCAGCCCCAATAGTTAGGACCCTTGAGCTCTGATTCCCTCCCCTCGCCACTGGGGTTACCTTGCAGATGAGGGTGCGTTTACCTTGGAAGGTAATACGTCCTTGGCACGGGACTCAAACAGGTGTTCCAGCCGGGCTGTGTCCACGGAGACAGGCTCCAGGGAGGCCCACAGGGTGGAGCCGGGCCCAAAGCGGCTCCCAGAGCTTCCATGGCCCCCAGCCAGCTTTAGCTCCCGCCAGAAGAGTTTGACTGTCTTCCTCTTGGTGGGGAGGGCTAGGCCGTCAGGCGCTGATGGGGGAAGAGGGGCAGCTGGCAGTGGTGGAGGTGGTGGGAAGGGGCCTTTGATGGGTGGGAGAGGTGGGGGTGGAGGAGGTGGGGGGCCTTCGGAGAGCAAGGGCAGTGGGGGTGGTGGGGGCGGGACCCCTTTCCCAGCCTCTACAGTCTCTATGTTCAGTATGTCCTGGTCTTCGTCCTCCCTCAGATCTGAGAAGTCCAGGTCCCCAATGCAGAGCTTGGGTACATGGGTAGAGAACTTCTGGGTGGGCTCAGCCTTGGGGCTTGGTGGAGCCAGTGGCTCCTTGGGCTCTGGCTCAAGGCTCCTCTGGGACCTGAGCAGGACTCGGGGGGCAGGGCTCTGGGGTGTTTTGGGTACAGAAACTGGGACCGGTTCAGGGGAACTCCACAGTTCCCGGGCATCTAAAAAAGAGAAGCAGCTGTCAGTATCATGCCCTCTGTGGGGCAACAAGGAGACATGGGTAGATTCTGCCCACCCACCCGCTCACCTGGGTGTCCATCAGCCTCATCGGGCACTGCCCCAGCCAAGGCCTCTGCCCGGCCCTGGGCCAGCGCAGCCTGCTTCTCTGTTTCTGCCGCTGCCACATTCTCCAGGAACCGGGCTCTGGGGGGAGGCACTTGTCAGTGAGGGTGTCTGACACACCCCAGCCCAGGGTGGTGCTCATGCTGGTCCCCTGGGCACTGCCCCTAATTGCAGGCACACACAGACACACAGGAACAGACCATGCGCCAAGCAGACCCAGGACCCAACCCCCCAAGTCCAGCCCCTGTTCAATCCTCCACATCTGGGGAGGGTCACTTCCAACCCAGCATACCAGGTCAATGTACAGAGAGTTCTACTTAATGTCTAACTTGCAACCTTGCTATTCATGTTAATTGTCCTGATTCTAGACAAGGACCCTTAGAGCAGGGGAAGGGAACAGCTGTGCTAATGGGCACATCCCTCCCTTGGCATGTCTGCAGCTTCTGAGAACTATGACCTATGCCCAGAAAGGGGCCTGGTAGAGATAGGCACTCAGTTTATGTTGAAATAATGAGTGATCCAATGTCTCTTTCTGGGCCCCTCTAGCCTCCAATGGCTCTCAGTCCCGGCCCTTATCTTAGCCCTAGGTTGTTCCTCTACCTCCACACTGCACAGCACCCTAATTCCCCTCCCTGCCCTATTCCTGGGAGAATGGGCTCCAGGTTGGGAGTCCATGTCCTCATCTCTGGTCAAAGCTATCAAGGTATCACTATTGAAGCACAGGATCCACTATGACCTCAGGGAACTAATCCCAATGCTTAGTCCTTAGGTAACCGAGGAGGCAGAAGTCTGGGGGAAAAGGGGC